TCGTCTCCAGCCTGAGTACAAGGCACTTGCTGCCCGTCCCCCAGAGGGGTCTTTGGGGCTGGCTGGGTTTTCCAAAAGGTTCCACTGGAGCGACTCCAGGCCCTAACCCAGAACCTACCAGGATTACCCAGTAAATGCTGGCTGGCTGGCCAGCAGACTCTGAGTCTACCAGCCACGTGACGCCCTACTGCGCGACTCTCCTCTCCCGGGGCCTGTCTCCTCACCCACGAGAAGGGGGCGCTTGTCCGTCCACTGTGCAGCGCTTGCTAAGCCACCACCCTCACTCCACTTGGAACCACCGGGTGGTCCCAGAGGCCTCAGCTCTGGCCAGACCAGCCCTCCCTCCCCTGCACCCCCAGCGGAGAATGCCCCCTCCCACCCCTGATGGCGAGTGCGAGCCCTCCCCGTGAGCTTGGTCACACTGCACTCTCACTGGGCAGGTCCGTTCTCATTTTAACGCTGAGCCAAGGTCTGCTTTCCTTAACGTTCCCACCGAGCCTGCATCCGGCCCGTAATCAGAGCTGGGGGACACTGAAAGAGGGGACTGGGTTCCTGCTCTCTAGGTCTTCCCTTTCCTGAACACACGCCCGGGAACCAATTCGAAGGTCAGAGGGATGTGCAGCACCCCCGTCGGACACTGGCCAGGCCTCTGGCCGGCTTGGGCTAGGGAGAACCAGAGCTGGCGAGGAGGCCGGACTCAGAACCCAGCCCCGCCCCCAACCCGAGACAACAATAACCAGATGGCTCGATTCTCCCATTTCCAAGCAGGAATAGGACTCGGGCTGCTGACTACACCTCAGGCCGGTAGAACCTGAATTCACTTGCAGGCCTGGCTCACAGAGCCAGGGGGTGACACACACCTTCCTTCCCCACGCTGGCAGAAGCTCAGAAGTTTCCTTCCACACAGACACAGGCAGACAGGAGAAGGGCGGGAAACCCCGGGAGGTGGCAGGGGGAGGGCAGGCAAGGAGGGGAGGGGGTCCATCCACAGAGAACCTAAGGGCCCAGCGGGGGCAGCTCTGGCAGGGAGACAGCAGACGATCAGCTAAGCAGGGGCTGGGGTCTTTGGGGGTGCCAGGACCCGGGGGTTGGGCGGTATAGCCCCAGGGAAAAGGCAAAGAGGTGAGAGCCAAAAGCAGACTAACTATGACCAGGAGCATGGGGCCCGTGTCGGGCAGCCTGGGGTAACTCCTGAACCTACAAACACTTGTCACGCAGTGGAGCCGAGTGTCACACATTTGGGGGCTGGGCTCTCAAACACGGTGCCAATCTCATGCAGTCAAAATCCTCTCTCTGAGGCGTGGGCAGAACCACCAGTGCAATTCAGATGACTAATTCTCACTCTTTTCTGAGCAGCACTCACCTGGTGAGAGAATTCAGCTAAGACAGGTGCAGTGATGTCACTGGGGCACCTGGGGGTGCTGAGCCAGGACACTTAACTGCCTAAGCCTCAGCTTCTCCTCACAGGAAGTGGGGTTTGTGTGCCCTATCAACCAAATTGGAACGCTTGGGGAAAAAAGATACTATAATAATGCAACTTTTGAAATATTTATCAACCAACAGATATGGTTCTACTTATAGTGGTCAACTTGTAAAACGATTCAGGTCAAAAAATTATTTTCAAAAATAAACTTCTTTGTAAAATGTTACTGAACTCAGAGAGGGCCAGGGTTGCATAGACAAGTGCTCAGCAGGCACAGAGAAGCCAATTATGTTTTTGTTGTTGCGACCACCATTACCATCATCACCACCATCATCACCGTCATCATCATCATCCTCACCACCATCATCACCATCATCACCGTCATCACCATGATCACCACCATCATCACCGTCATCATCATCATCATCACCATCATCACCACCATCATCACCGTCATCATCATCATCCTCACCACCATCATCACCATCATCACCATCATCATCATCATCACCACCATCATCACCGTCATCATCATCATCCTCACCACCATCATCACCATCACCATCAACACCATCAACACCATCATCACCACCATCGCCTTCATCATCATCACCACCATCATCACCGTCATCATCATCATCCTCACCACCATCATCACCATCACCATCAACACCATCAACACCATCATCACCACCATCGCCTTCATCATCATCACCACCATCATCACCGTCATCATCATCATCCTCACCACCATCATCACCATCACCATCAACACCATCAACACCATCATCACCACCATCGCCTTCATCATCATCACCACCATCATCACCGTCATCATCTTCATCCTCATCACCATCATCATCACCACTATCATCACTACCACCATCATCACCACTGTCACCATCATCATCCTCATCACCCCTCATCACCATCATCACCATCATCACCATCATCATCACCGTCATCACCATCATCCTCATCACCATCATCACCATCACCTTCACCATCATCATCACCGTCATCATCATCATCCTCATCACCATCATCACCATCACCTTCACCATCATCATCACCGTCATCATCATCATCCTCATCACCATCATCACCATCACCTTCACCATCATCATCACCGTCATCATCATCATCCTCATCACCATCATCACCATCATCACCTTCTGTCATCACCATCATTATCACCGTCCCCACCATCACCATGACTGTCACCATGACCACCAACCACACGGCCCACCCTCACCTTCTGCCTCCTCCGCCATCTCTTCCTCGTTCCCACTCGCGCCCGACGCTTCCATCTCCTCATCCTCCACCACCGGTGGGAAGGCGGCCTCCTCGCTGGCGGCGGCCGGGGCTTGCTTCTTCTTCCTCCGTGCATTCCTCTCCTTCTCCTAGGGCACAGGGACAGCAGCAGGTCAGGGCTTGGGCCTGGGCTGTCAGCCTGGAAACTCCCCGTGTCCCAGACCTCGCCACAGCTGCAAGAGACAGTGATCCCAGCCACATGGTCATGACGCGTCCTTCCCCCTCGCGCCCCACTGCAGTGGCCAAACGTGCCAGTGGATATTTTTACCCAGGGCTCTATTCTTCCTTCATGGCCCAGATACCCGGGGTGCAGCCTGGCCTACTGGCTGCCCCCACACCCTTCCAGAACAGGTGAAAAAGGCCTGCCTCTGCCTGAAGACACCCGTGATGGCTCCGGGCCCTCTGACTGCCCTAGCCAGAGTGGTGACCACACCCCCACGGGACACCCTGCCAGGGCCCAACAGTACGTGTGGAGCAGATGAATGAATGAAGCTTTTCTTTGTGTGTCTCATCTGCTCTCCACTGAGCCCCAGGGGACAGGCTAGCTTGAGAAGCTCGTCACTTCACTCCTCCAGTCTTCACAGGGGACCTACTGTGCGCCAGGCACTGTGCCAGGGCTGGGGACACATAACGTTTGGGGAAGATGAGGTCCCCGCCTCCGGTGGCCTTCTAGTTGGGAGTGCTAGCAAACGATACATCTCTAAAAGATGCAGCGGACAGGATGCAGAGGGGGTCAGACGGGGTTGGGCCAGAGAGGGTGGGCGCAGGGGCCTCGCTGCACAAATGTGGGGGACAAGGGGGCTTCTCCAAGTTGCCGCTGAGAGGGAGCCAGCCGGCTCTGGCCGAGAGTGGTCCAGGGGGAGGGAACCGCAAGCGCCGAGGCCCAGAGGTGGGCATGAGCTGGGCGTGTTCAAGAACAGAAAGGGGGCCCTCAGCGTGAAGCCTTTCAGGTCCCTCCTCACCGCACCCCAGTCCTCGGAAGGCCGGCTCCTCCGCAGGGAGCCGGAGCCCCGCCCCCTTGCCTGGGTGCAAACGTCACTCCTCGCTGACAGCCCCCATCTTTGCACCTCACCGGGAGCTCTAGGAAGGCAGAAGAGACACAGTGGGTGTCTGCGTACTGCACCACGCTGAGACGGGCAGAGGCTCAGAAGGCGTTTGTTGATTGACTGAGTGACTGCAAACGGGCAGCATTTGAGGCTGGAACACACACAGCAGAGAGCTGGGGTATATGTGGAGGCAGAGTGTGCGGAGGGTCTAGAGGTGACCAGAGACTCCTAAGGCGAGTAGAATGTCCCCCCCCCCGCCCCCCAGTGCAGCCGGTGTGACAGGCAGGGTTGCAGCCGGAGCCCTTCTGGGTCTCCGAATAAGCAGGCGGAAGCTGCGATGCTCCCAGGTGTGCCGACAACTCTGAACGAAGCCCCTAATCCTGGGGTGGAGCGTGTCCCCCAGATTTCGTGTCCACCCAAACCCAGAATGTGACCTTATTTGGAAACAAGCTCTGAGCGGGCGTGATTAGTGAAGATGAGGTCACACTGTGGTAGGGAGGGCCTTACGTCCAATGGGACCAGCGTGCTTATGAGAGGGGCGTCTGGACACTGAGGCACGCAGAGCAGTGACACACGTGCAAGCCAAGGAACGCGAGGACTACCGGCCACCACCAGGAGCTGCAGGAGACAAGGCGGGACCCGCCCCGGGAGCCTTCGGAGGGAGCGTGGCCCCACTGACACCCCGATTTCAGACTCCTGGCTCCAGGACTGGGAGAGAATGCGTTTCTGTGGTTTTAAGCCACCCGGTTGGTGGTGCTTCGTTATAGGGCACAAGACTGATGCACCTTCCCTCCACCAAGTCCCCGGGCCCCAGGAGAAAGCCACCCGACGTCACAAGGAGGTACTGCCCGCTCGTGGGGCAAATGCCCCGTCACCTCCAGGGGCCGAGGCCCTGCCCACTCTGAACCCTCACCAGGGACTGGCTGGAAACAGGCGTCAGGGGTCCCCGAGGCCCAGCCCAGCCTGGGGGTGGGGGTCCCTTCCCGTCCTGCCTCCTCCCAGAGCAAACGGGGTGGGGGTGGGGGGTCCTCGGGGCGTCACCACTGGGAGCATCGGGAGGAAAAGGAAAATGTCCGTTTGCCCGTTAGTCACGGTTTCCGTCACCAGCACTTGGCCAGAGGGCCACAGCCCCGCCCTGCCCAGTGTCCACCAGCCGTTATGGGAACGCCCAGCCTGCTCTGCCCCTTCCTGCTCCAGGGGCTGCCCCAGCCCTGCCCCAAACCCCAAGCTTCCCCTACGGGCCCGTGGCCGAAGCCCATGGAGGCGCGAGAAAGTTGTGTGGCGGTGGCTTCTGTGGGCGCGGCTGAGGGTTCCCCCTTCTTCCCCAATCTATTTTTAGCGGGCGGGGACTCGCTCCAGTGCTAGGGGTTGGATAAGGCGAGTGACTGGCTGGCTGGTGGGGGGCGGGGAGGGGGGCGGCTTGCAGGGAACAAGGGCTCCTGTGGGCCGAGTCACAAGGTCTCTCTAGCAGGGTCTCCCCAGGCCATCAGGCCAAGCGGGATGGGTCCGATGTCAGCACCTGAATCCCCCCAACTATACCTGGATCTGAGAGGCCAGGATGTGCTGAATGTCTCAGGAATTATACCAAATCATTCCACATGAGCCCTGCACCTCAGAATTGGGGCAGCGTGTGGACAGATCAGGAGATGTTGGATACTGGTTGTAATAATTACAGCTGATGTTTATTAATTAAGCTCCTACTATGTGCCAAGTGTTTTCCACACATTCATTCGCTGAATATGCATAGCTGCCCTGCAAATCAGAACATGCTGCTCCCTGCTTCAAACCCTCCAGAGGACCCCCAAAACCCCTGAAACAAAACCGCAAGCCCTACTCCTCCACACAGGCCTAGATCCCCACCACCTCTCCAACGTGCTCATTCAACCCTGACCTTAGTCTCTCGGCTACAAACACGCGGCCCCGCTGTGCACCCGTGCGTACCACGTCCCAGCCCCAGGGCCTCTGCACAGGCGTCCCTCGGCCTGGACGTCCCTTTGCCAGATGCCAGCGTGACTCACGTCCTCGGCTCTTCTGAGAGCTCTTCCCTGATGACCCTGCCGACACCAGTTCAACCTTGCCACCCACCAACCCCTCGTCTCATCTTCAGAGCACGATCTGAAATTATCTGTGTGTCAACGCGTCTCCGCTGGAACTCGCCCGAGGGCCAGCACCTCTGCATGCTCTCGGCGGCACCCCCGGCACGGAGCAGGTGCTCTGTCGCTACGTCTTCGGGTGGAGGGACCTGACAGGCACAGACGGGGGCTCAGAGAGGCCGTGACGCGTGCCCTGAACCCCCCGCCAGGCCCAGCAGTCGAGGAGCCCGGGTTTGAAGGCAGGTAGGTTCCTCTCCCTCTGCGGGTCTGTGCAGACGGACGCAGATGGGGGACTCGGCAGAGGAAAACATGGCAAGGCTGGGCCTGGGCTGAGACAAACAGATGAAGAAATACGGAAGCGGGGCCCCAGGGCCTGGATTCGCAGATGGGAGAGCAGGGTAACCTTCGGCCAGAAGCAGGGGGAGGGAAAGCCTCAGAGAAGACACCGCTGCCAAATGTTACGTAACTCTGGGACAGCTCTGCCTGCCTGCCATCCTGCTTCC